TCCCCTGACCAGGGCCGGCTTTAAAGAGCCCAGGAATCGGGCTGTGCTCCGGCCGGAGCTCCGACCAGGGTTGCGGGGCTTGGGGCCGGGCCGGAGGTGCTCAGCCGAGGCTGGGCCGGCGCGCTCGGCTGGAACCGGGGCGGCGCTGCTGGGGCCCGAGCCGGCGCTGCTGGGGCCTGAGCCGGGGGTGCTCGGTCAGCGCCGGGCTGGCGCGCTCAGCCGGAACCGGGGCCGCCGCCCTGGAGCCCGAGCCAGGCTGGAGCCGCTGGGGTCGCCGGGCGCAGTTTGGCCCGGGCCGGAGGGAGCCGCTCGGCCAGGGCTGCGCCTCCCCGGAGCTCTCCTCCTCGTGCCCCCCCCGCCCCAGCTTACCTGCTGCGGCCTCCCACCTGCCCCTGCTTCTTTTCAGACCTTCGTGGGAAGCAGGGGAGGGGGAGAAGCAGGTGGGCGGAGCGTTCAGGGGAGGGGAGGAGGGGGAAGACAGCTGCAGGGCCGGATGGCGTGGTAAGGCTGCAGGGGATGGGGGGAGCCGGAAAGGGGCTTTGGCTGCCCAGCGGCGCTTGGCCGCCGCTTTTCTGTCTATAAATAGCTGACCGGGGGGAAATCCCGGACATTTTTAGATTTTTAAAAATCCCCCCCGGACAGCTATTTATAGACCGAAAAGCCGGACATGTCCGGGGAAATCTGGACATAAGGTAGCCCTCGGTAGGAGAGGGGAGGCAGGAGGGAGGCTGCTTCCCCTAACCCCCTGCAGCTGGCCTTGCGGGGGGCGATGGACACTCTGCACCCCCGCATGCCCCAGGTGCGCATTGGGGGGGCCCCTGGCACCCCACTCCACCCACCTAGCATTCCAGCTGGGGAGCAGGCAAGCCCCTGCACCCCGAACCCACTCCCCGGCTGGAGCGCTGGGTGGAGTGGGGTAAGCCCCTGTGCCCCGACCCTTCTCCCCGGCTGGAGTGCTGGGCAGGCAGAATGGGGCAAGTCCCCATGCCCTGACCCTGGGAGGAGCACCGGGCTGGTGGAGAGGGGTGAGCCCCCGCACCCTGACCCTGCTCCTTGGGTGCACGACTGGGGTGTGGGGGCCCCTGACCAGAGTGTCCATCGACCCCCACAAGGCCGGCTGAGGGGGTCAGGGGAGGAGGCCCCGATCCTTCCTGCCTTCCATCCCCACCCCCATCAATGCCCACCCACCTGAAGTCGGGACCCACCCAAGTGTCCTGTCCTGGCTAAGGCACTGCTTCACACTCCCCGGCCTCCCCAGACACTCCAGATTAACCGTCGGCATTCTGACTTAAACAGCATCAGCATTATCATCATATCAAGTTCATCCTCAACATCAGTAAAGGTTAGTAGCAAGTTAAAATTTCATTAAAATTTTTTAATAAAACCTGTATTGGATAAATTAGGGAGGTCATCTTGCGAGTCTGGAACCAAAACCCTTATTTCCCATAGACCCGTGGTATCTTTTTAAGCGATTTCTATTTGCACGGTGTTTTTTCAAGATCATAACCATAGTGTAAATCGAGGCCCAGCTATATACCTTTTGCAGCATTTGTTGTTTTATTGAAATTTTCCAAAAGTACAATAGCAATCCAAAACGGTATGAGTTGCTGCTCTTAGATGCATAAATAATGTAGATTCCAATACAAGATACATTTTCTTGTAAGAGGCAAAAAATGCTCCTTTATTCTATGCCTTTTGTTAACCCTTAGGGAACCGGCTAAGTCTTGGGAAGCTTACACCTTAAGGATTGGCCAGATTTCAGAGGAGCACCATAGCATAAAACAGAAATTGATTTTGGTTGCTAAGAGGTGCTGGTTCAGGATTCTCAGTAGTTCTAACTGGCCTTATGTGCTTCTGCTAGGAACACCCACTTCTCTGGCATGCCTGATCTGCTCCACTTCCCTGCAGGTTGGTCTCATCCCCTCCTTTAGTTTGAAAGCAGTTGGGAAATGGTGTTCAGTATCAGCTGAGGACACTGGCATGGAGGAATCAGCATGATGCTGGCAAGGTGTCTCAGCGGCAAGATCAGCTAAGCTAAAATGGAAAGAAATCAAAAGGCTCTCCACTCAGTGGGAGGAGGGTCTCCTTTGGAACTTTCTGACTGAGATGGTAAGAATCAGAGGTAAGTCATGGGGAGAGTGAAAACAAAAAGGGGAACAGGAGTAGAGAGGAAGTGGGATGGTGGCTGAGTTTACTTGGCTCCTGTCTTTCATTTAAGAACCTTTGGGATGAGAATACTCATCCTGATGGGGGCCAGGATTCTTCAAAAAGCAATTTCTGAGCTGACGTGAAGTAGATAAAAAAACAAAACAAATGCCCCCACATGACAATCAGACAAAAATGCTGTGAGGTCAACCCCTGAAAGAGATACACATTTTGTTATGTATTATAACGGGTATTTTTTGTCAAGGTGAATCACCTTTTACAAATATAACGGTTATGAATCTACTCAAAAGGAAATTGTGAACAGCATGACAAAAATGTTTGTGAATTGTTTTTTGCACAGGTCTATGTTAAGGGAACTGCTCATCAACCCACTGAACTAGAGGGGTAAAGTTATGAATAGGAGGCTGTCAATATGACACTAAAATACAATAGAAAAGGAAAGCGATATTAAGAGAGATAAACGTGTCTATGCAGAAATTCAGGGTGCCAGCCAACCATGAACAAGTCTCATCAAGTAGCCTAGGCAAATGGTAAAACATATACCATGTAATCCTGGTGGCCCTCGAGGTCCTGGATCTCCTGGTAGTCCTGGGCTTCCAGGTGATCCAGCAGATCCTTGGTTTCCTGGGATATATGTTGCTTTCCTAGGTGCTCCAGGCTGACCTAAGAGTGGAAATACAACAAAGAGCTGGATGCTTTATATTAACACCCCACCCCCCAAAACAGTTTTGGGGCACTAGAATGAGAAAGACTGCAATAATGGTTACCAGGGGGGCCCTTTGGTCCAATAGATCCTGCTGCACCCATTGGTCCAGGGGGTCCTCGATTACCCTTTTCTCCTAAAAAGGAAGATTAGACACATGCATGATTGTAGAAGCCAAAAGAACTGTCAGTGGTTTCAGAGATTTGTTTCAGAATCCTCCGGATACATGATCTCACAGAGTCTTAACAAAAAGCTACAGTGACTGTTTACTTGGTAAAAATGGCACTGTAGGGTTCCATGATTACTGATGCTCAATTATTTACATATAAAATATAGTCAATTTACAATAATACAGATTTTTATTTTTAACAGCTGCCAAATATGGGATCGAATCCTGGTCATTTGCCCAGGGCTGTGTTGGCAATAAAATGCATTATCCTGTATTAAAATAGCATACAGAAGGCCCAATCAGGATCAGAGTCCCATTGTGCTAGGTGCTGTGCAAACATAAAAGACAGTCCCTGACCCAAAAAACTGGGGTTGTGGCAAACTAAAAATGTATCCTCATCCCAACCCCGATAACATTTTTATGTAAAATCAATCGGCTTTGGGTGGAATGTATCCCAAAGAATCATTTGGCAAACCTTCCCCCAAATCCTTATGGTGTTCTTGTGCATAGTGATGGATCATGGTGAATAAGAATAGGGTTCAATTGGCTGTGCTGACTAGAAACCATGGCCGAAAGGTCTCGTAAACCATAGGAGCCACCCTGTTTTGTATTGTGAGTTTATTGATTGAAAAATTGCATGGAGGGAAGGCAGATGCTTTTTATTGAGTTGGTGTCAGGTTGGGCTAAACCAGAATCTCTGCAATAAAACACAACCCAGAGAGGATGAGTTGTGAGCAAACCTGGTCTTCTGGTGAATTTTCCATCCCTGACCCTTCTACAGCCACGTTTTACTAATAAGGTTCCATGTCTCCAGTTATACAACTGGTACTGTGCTGTCCACAAAAAGTATGTTTAATAAATAGGTGAATACCGGTTACACCTGGAAGTCCTGGAAAGCCAGGTTCACCTCTAGGGCCTGAATTGCCTGGGGTGCCTTCAACTCCCTGCAAGTCAGACAACAAGAATGAAGAAAAATCATAACAGTATTCAGACACTGCAAGATATGCTGTCTGGGTTTTTACTTAGAATTTAATATGTTACCGACTATGCTATTTTTCAGGCAAACAGAATGACACAAAACATGTTCAATAATTTATACAACTTAACTAAAAATTGAGAGAGAATGTCCAAAGGGGAAATAGCTGAGCTACTGCAAAATGTGCCTACAAACATACTATAATCAGACAACATCTGACCCTTCGTGTTTGCAAGCACACTAAAAATATTCTGCCCATTGTTAAGAAGTAAACAAGTAAACAGAATTTCATCCACCAAGAGCTACACTCAGGAATGATAAAACAGCAAAATCAAGGAAACTACTATAAATTCATGGTGATGTGTTCTATGCTGTCAAGGCTGATTCCCCACTCTGGCACTTCAAGTGCAGAAGGTGGGGGCCTGCAAGGATTCTAACTATTAATACTGGCCACTCCAGGCTTGTATTAAACTTCCAAGGTACAGCTTCTCTCTAACCTTGGATGGGTAGATGCTGCCACCACCCAAATGCAAAAAAAAAACCCTTTGAACACAGGAAGGTGCACTTAGGAATTCCTCCCTGTGGGGTACCCTCAAGCCCTTTCACCCCTCCTCTGGGGAAGAGCTGAGAAAGAAAACAAAGCAAATCACCTGTTGCCGCCAGCTAATTAAACAACATATTCACAAACCTCTTAGAACACCAAAACCCCAATCCTGTTCTTAAAAAAGGTAAATTTTATTAAAAACAAAAAGAAAATACATCTGGAACTTAGGCTATTGCTAGATTTTAAAAGAGGAAATAAAATAATTAAGCATCAAGAATGGTTTTCTTGAGGTCCAGCTTAAAGGTTACAAGCAAAACAAAAGCATTTGGGGTTATCACAGAGGAGTACGTAAGCCTTACAGAAAGAAAACAGATAAACCTCATTGCGTCTTCCTAGACATTTCCTGATCTACTTACATATCTGGGGTTTCAAATGAGTAGTTTCTAGGTATGATTTGATGATTTTTCATACCTGGTGCAAGCTTCTTACAGCATTGCTGCTCTGTGTCTCCTCTCCAGGAGAACAACAGACAGACAGACAAAGGGAAAGTTTTTTCCCCCCAAGTTTAAAAAGTTCTAGCCCTTCCATTGGCTCTTTTGGTCAGGTGCCCACTCCCTTCCTTTTACCTATGGGCTTTTTTAACCCTTTACAGGTAAAGCAAGTAGAGAACAGCTACTAACAGGGATTTTATAGCGAACTGGCTGGCTGGGTGTCCATAAAAGGGAGTTACCCCCCCTCCCCTTCATTTATCACAGATGCCCTCTGAAGCTTATGCACAACAAGTACTCACCTTAATTTCTTTCTTACATCACAACTTTTTTTGCCTGGGTGTAATTTTCACCAAAACTGTGAAATTAAAAAGTGAGTGAGAAAGGAGGAGTATTCATTTCACTTACTGTTAAACCTGGAGGACCAATATTGCCTACCAATCCTGGTGGTCCTGGTATGCCATCTATACCTCTAACACCTTTGTTTCCTTTTATGCTGTACACAGGGGTTCCAGAAGATCCTGGTCTACCAGGAATACCTACATTAAAAAAAAAGCTGAATCAGTAAAGGCATCCAGTAGGCATATTTCATGGCAGCATTATTTACAGCACAGCTCTGCCATGAAAAGTGACTCTGCAGAAGTGGCATCATGGGGCTCCATGTTCAATGGCCCTCAATGATTCCAAAGCAAGAAGCATAAGTGTGTATTTTTTCCAGCTGCCAGCCCTGCACACACAACCTGAAATCTGGGTTGAGAGCTGCGCCCAGCACCAGTTACCAAATTAGGCTTTTAGTGACACCAGTGCTACCTCCTTGCCTTTAAGTAGGTTCTCGGTAATACATGTGCAAACCCACTGGTCCAGGCCTGGCGCAGGATCCAAGGGGAAATGGGTTTATGTAGGGGTCAGGGGAGGGATTGGGATTTTAGCAGAAGATTTGGTTCATGGATTGAGAGCCATTATGTTATTTTAATTTTATGTTTCACTGTGTAGACGTCCCTCATTTTTTGCAATGGGAAAGATATATCAACTGATAAAGCAATTATCTGTTTAATTATAAAGTGCATAAGCCCCTGTCACCGGTGAGTCTAGATTTGCCAAACCATCTCCACTAGATACTAAAACTTCTTTTCGCATCAATAAGAAATAAGAGCAACACACCCAGTCGTCCATCCACTCCGGCAAGACCTCTATTTCCTTTCTGGCCAGGAATCATTATGCCTGGTGCACCTGGGAATCCTGGCTTTCCATTCAATCCAGGAGGTCCAATTGGTCCTGGATCCCCCATTAGACCTTTAATACCTTCTGGTCCTGGACAACCAGGAATCCCCACGTCACCTTTGATTCCTGTGAAACATAAAAAGTTGCATAATAAGTTCTGAGATAATTTTCAGTAGGACAGCCATTACTTTCAGAATCCCGACAACCAAGAATGCACACATTTATTATATGTTGAAAATGGGACTGTTGTCAGAGTACGTGCCAAGTGCTGTTTGTTACACAAGACAACTTGTTGTAAGCCAATGTAGCTCAGGGCAGGCAGCACTCACTGTGGGATGGTTAACATGCTGCTGTTTATCAGACTGCACTGAAGAGCTTGGCTGTGCAAAGGAGTTATTTTGATAAAGGAGTGGAAAGATTTGAGGAAGAAAGAACAACATGGGATTGTTGGTTGCCATGATAAAAAGAATGCTATAGTTTTGCAGCTGGAACTGGCAAATCCTTTTAAACCAAGTCACAGCTAAAAATATCAGGATCCAGAACTGACTTATTTTGTTCATAGTGCTGTTCTTGAACTCCTTGTTTTACATGTGAAGGGAAATCTTTTCATTACTGAGGGATGTTACTGGATACCTCCCAGTATTAGAAAAACAATGCGAAACATAGAGATTGGGAACTGCTGTTGTCACGCTCAGGAAATCATTTCCCCCTCTTGCAACTCCAACCATGTAGATACAAGAAGAGAGAGCTGACTGAAAGGGAATTTACATGAAAAGAAATGGATGTGGCTTTCTTTTATCCTGGCAGACAATGGTTAGTGCACAGTAGCAACAGCTACCTGTGTTAGAACATATCCCGATAAACAAATCGCAATAAAAAACAAACTAGAGACTCCTGTGCTTGATTACACCTTTATAAAAGCAGAAAATATGTCCTTGATTTCTCTGTATTATATAGACTTAACTGTACAAGTAAGACATCTTGAAACCTAACAAATAGGGCCAGATCACTGATTTTAACTACAGCCTCACTCTCCCTCTTTTTAAGAGCCTAAGTGACAATTTAAGCATCCAAGTGCAGAATTTAGCTTAAAAAAAGGGGGGGGGGGAAATCTCCAAACCTGTTTAAAAACCAAACTCATGGTATCTGAAAAGAAAACTCACCTTTAGGACCAGAAATACCTTGCGGACCTTTAATCTGCCATCCTGGTGCACCTGCAAAATAACATTTCACGTGCGACTCAACAGCCCCTAAGCACTGGTGGAAGATACATGTTATATTCGTCTAACATTCCATACATCTGTTCAACATATATTGGATCAAACATCACATTTTAATTATCTGAAAAATCTTTATTAGTTTGGATCTGTGCTATGCTGCTACTCAGAAATACGAATGAGGTACCATCTTTTTTTTTATCTGGGAGGCACATTTTACAGTCATATTTGAGGTGAATCTTACCAGTGCTCAAGCCTTTTCACACACACACACACACACACACACACACACACACACACACACACACACACACACACACACAC